ATTCGTACGTACGTGAGATATCTAGCCGCCATACTTAGGGCTCAGCAAGGCTACCACGACTGCGCCTCTTCCAGCACAACGCAGTTCACTACGCCACTTTGCAAGTTGCACCGTTTGTATCCAATGAAGCAGATACATCTCTCTCGCCTGATACGGTGGATATATTGAATCTGGCATCAGGCTGCAGTCGATGAAACAAACCGGTGAGCTGTGCTTGCAACAAGGCTGACTTGCGTGATGATCGATTATCACTGGTGGGTGCGAAGGGCGCGAAAACATGCAGAAAGCAAGGCAGAAGCGGGGTTGCAGCCATTTAAATAGAGCTGTAAGATGAGAGAAAGGTCATCATCATTTCTGTACATTCGAAAATCAGCAAAATGAGCAGAAAAAACTCGATGACCGACGATACTACGAGGATTTATAGGTCGTCAAACATGGGCGCAATTACCAGAAAAGACTCAATAACCGATATTGGTACGGAGACTCACCTGTCTTCATGCATGGACGCAATGACCAGAAAAGATTCGGAAATCGATGATAATATTCCGGACATTTCGCAGCTGAACATTGAGGACGAAGCGGATGCGAACACAGGAGAAGAGTTACAAGAGAAGATAGCAGAGCACAAAACTACACCTGAGCCGATTTGGAAGAGCAAATTATGGCTGGCATGCCAGACAGGAGACTATAAAGAAGTGAAAGAATATCTGCAAGATGCGGAGCAATCCAGCCTTCTCACGCACGGAAGAGACGAGAGCGGCAATACCGCCCTCATAATTGCTTCAAGCGCATCCCCTCCCGGCGGAGCATCTACAGCGATAATGGAACTTCTACTCGAGGCGGGCGCAGATGCCAACGCTAAGAACCGTGCAGGCAGAACTGCACTCATGCAGGCGTCGCTCTGGGGACGGCAGGGAGCTGTGGAAGTCCTCCTGAAACATGACATCCCAACAAACATTGAACTTGGAGATAATTTAGGCCTCAAAGCGATTGACATGGCTTCTGAAAATGACAAGCGGAGCGTGGAAAGATTTTCTGCGTACAACCAGAGCCATGTAGAAAGACCATGGTTGGATAAGATAAATCGCAGGCGTATCGTGGAGCGGTTGTTGGAAGTACGTCGAAGGAATATTATTCAGGTACAAGAAAGACTTAGCGAGGCTGAGGATAAGATAAAGAAGTTGGAAGAAGAGCTAAATGCTAGCCGGGTCGCGAATGGAAAGATTCAAGAAGAACTCAGTACCAAAGTACATGAACTAAAACAGGCAAGAGTCCAAATCGATAACTTGACCGGACGAAATGCAGAAAAACCCATTCGATTTCGCGAGCTCGAGCTAGGCAATGAAACTCAAATCGACTTTACAAAAACATTCCGCATTCAATTGAGCTTTTGGAATGGCAAACGTCTCAAACCGACAATATCATACATGGAATTGGATGGCAAGCATTACTTTGCAAAGAACGGGACACATTCTGGTTTGAACAACTTCATCTCAAGCAACGTCTTTGCGCCACGAGCCTACAATCTATTCAAGCTATTAGGATTTGAAAGGGCACAACTTAGGGAGGACCAAAGCTGGTTCAAACATGCTGAGCCACAACTGATTGCGTTCTACATGGACCATTTTCTGACAAGTCAAGATCTATCCCAATCAGACTTCAAACAACTCAAGGGCAAGAAGCCAGATAAAGATAGCAGTAAGTACGGAAAGATTGAAATATTCGTGAGTCAAAAACCTTGTGGCACATGCAGCTGGATTGGGGATTTCATTAATGAGTTTACGGGGCACTACGGATTCCAATTTGTATTGAAAGATGTATCAGTGGAGTGCAAAAAAGCCTTGTAGAGACGCCGATGGAGCTCTTCGCGATTAGTTAAATACAGATTGTCATTCAATGGATTTGCTGTGAGATATCTGCGCGTGACAGGAGCGCTTGCTAGCAATCGAGTCGGGTATTTGCTTAGTGGTAGACAAGCAGGATAATGTTCATGCCAAGCGTCAAGGTTGGGGAGAATCATGTCGTATTAGAGCTGTTGGAAAGAGGTCTATATGCGCAGTGGGAAGATGGAGTGAAGGAGCTAGGCCGTAAAGGTACTAGCGGGTAGATGGGTGGCTGCCTGGTTGCCTAAGGAGGAGCCAAGGGATAAGCCCTATGGCCGACAGTTCAGTCTTACTCTATAAGAACCTTTATTTTCTGCACAGTCTCTCCTAACTCAGATCCATCAACACCGCAATCCTTTCTACTACACAATCACTCATCTGACCTTTTGTTGGTACAATGTCGGAATTTAGATTTTTGGATCTACCCACTGAATTAAGGTTTCTGTCATGGATCAAACCCGCGACCTCTAGTAAGCGAGGTGGCCCGTGCGCCTTAAGCGAAGGCCACAGCCGAACACCAAAGTTCGACCCGCGCAGGTCTTCGAACCTGCACGCAATATCTCACTTAGTACTTAATACAGATACGGTCATCTCAACTATTGACGTCCCTCACAGTTTCAGATCTACGAACACCTCGTTGTAGAATGCCTTGCTGATGACAGAGCTTCTGATCTTCGGGTGATTTACGTGGAGATTAACAAAGAGTGCCTCTGGAAAGCTTGACGCTTGCTGAGAGCTGTATGGAGGTGGAGGTGCGAAGAACAATTTCATCGTTCTGTTCCAATAGAACGAATGCCTCGTCCACCATCAATTCGTAAAACAACCCCGTATTCGCGTAGACAGCTTCGTTTTTACTTATGTCAAGATTCTAGTTTGCGAAAAGGTATTCGAGATTTGACGATCAAGATTCCGTTAATGATGAAGGGATTCCAAAACGAATGGTTCATTTCGAACCGCTTGTCAAACGAACATCTGCACAATATCCTTATCCCAGTCTTTGGACTACCACTGTCAAGCTTGACTCTGGTGAGTCACAAAAATAATTGGGACTTCGATGGTTACCCTCCGCTAGTAAATGACGTAGTCAGAGAAATTGAGAATTACACTTACCCAGTACTAGAGTCACTCAGATCAGATCGCTTTGTACTAAGGATCTTTGGCGGCCGCAACTTGGAGCAGATTTCTGATAATGTTTATGAGGATTTCCAGAGAGTTCTGAAACATTACTGCATTTCCTTGCCCAAGGATAGCCAATTACACTCTTTTGTACTCGTGGAAGTGAAAAAAGCTGGACACCGAACAGAATTATACACAAAGTAGAAGAAGCCGGAAAGAATATTGGAACACATCAAGCGGTCGATTCTTCACTCGAAAAAAACTTGGAAAGAAAGAAGAGAAAGGGTTACTGTGATGTTGTATTCGAGAGGAGGAGAAGACCCGAAAAGCCGGAGGGACACAAGTTGGATGCATGAAGGGGAGAAACAGCACATTTGAGGATTCCAAATATGTGAGATTCCAGGAGGGTTTAGACAGTTCACTGTGTAACAGCCTTGATATCCAAACATAGGGACCTAGCGTCAACCACGCACCTTGTATCCCTCATCATGACACATAGACTAACAGAGATGTCAACAAGCAAGTCAAGCTGGCTTGATTCTTATCGATTGCAGATCACAGACAATATAGAGGCTCGTGCACAGAGGCACGTCCCCAGAGAATGGTCTGTGATCTGCAATCGATAAGAATCAAGCCAGCTTGACTTGCTTGTTAACATAGCTGTTAATCAATGTTTCGTGAGCAGACATGCCTGGCAAGTCCGCGACGGCCGCTTAGGGCTCTGACATCTTGGTTAAACATAAAAGAGATTAAACCACCAGAGAGAACCTCCATGCAAGCGTCGTCCCATCAGAATTTCATACTACATTTGGCGGAAGTGACTTACTCGCAAAACGCACGCCGCCTGCGCGACGATAAGATTTGAAACGTGAGAGTAGGGGGTAGGGACGAGAGCGCAGCGGCCCATATAGAGGAGATGTTGAAGTAGCAGTGAGTCAGAGTTGGCATAACAGAAGTTGCATCGCGGGTGCTCTCGGAGTCGACGAGGATATGGGCCTTTGCAATATCATCAACGAGACGGAGCGAAATTCGGAA